GGATACTGATTAACTGAGGGAAGTGATAGACCTAATGCCCCATGAATGAGACAAGGCTAACCTGCTGACTAAACCCCATACTTCCAACTCTGTCTGGGTTAAATCCAGCTCTCAAGTTCTTTCTGAGAACACAGGTGATGACATTGAAATATTTCAAGAGAGACAGTAATTTGGGGCTGTAGTCTATGGCTGATGAATCACAGTACTCACAGAAGTGCCATCCAAAGTGTCAAAAATCACAATGGCTTGTCTGGGCCATCTCTGGAGTCCAGATCCAAAAACGGGGGTATGCATAAGATTCACTGGGTGACCATGGGAAACGTACCTCACTTTCTCCATCTGTAAAAGGGAGAGAATAGGACTTTCCAGTTAGAGCTGGCTGAACATTTTTCTATTGACTTTTTTGAAAATTCAGAAACTTTAAACTAGTTCCATCTACCTTGCTTCTAGTTTCTTCCTGAGGAGACTGCGATCCTGCCACCTCTCACATAGAACTCCTGGTCAGAGAGCGAGAGAGCGTGTTAGTGGGTGGGGTCGTGAACCGAGAGCGAAGAGAACCAAGTTCTATTTCTGACTCTGCGGCTGACCTACCGTGTGACTTTGGGCAGGTCCCTTCACTTCTCCTCGCTGTACCTCTGTTTTCCCTCCCGCTCTTTTTCTGGTTTGTCTATTGAGACTGAGATCTTATGGGGGCACGGATTGTCTCTTACCATGTGTCTACAAAGTATCTAGCACAGGTCTCAGTTGGGGCTTCTAAGCAGTGCTGTAATACAAATATTAATAATGATTAATAATAACGGGAGTTTTAGCTGAGTAACATCTGGTAGGGGAACTTACATAGTTCAGGTTTTAAGAGATCTCTTTGTGTGTGTGTGTGTGTGTGTGTGTGTGTGAGTTAATATAAATATAAGCTAGTGTGGTATTTACTACTGTAAAATTTAAAATGGAAAGAGCATTGGACTTGGGGAGGTTGATCAGTATATGGACCAGAATCACCAAAGATCTAGCAAAACACGAGGTATTTATGCTTCGGATTTGAATAAGTAAAGGACATTGCTATTCATTATTTATCAAACATAGGAATTGGGATAGTTATCACCTAAAGATTTTTCATTAGCATTTCTGATAACAGATCGATGGCTAACGGGCAAAGGCATTTATTCTTATTTTCCAATTAAATCCACTAAAAATAGTTCTTACCAGCTATTGCAAGGGACCGTGGTATGTTAAGGATCCTCTGTTTACTGATGCAAAAGGCCAACAACCGTAGTCCGTCTGCTTGAGGATAGAAGTGTTGGCAGCATGTAGCCGTAGCACGCTATTGCATCTCTCAGAAACTGGTCAGTACCTGGCTGATACGAGACCACAGCAGAATCTGGTGGGAGACCTTCCAAGTGGTTGACTAGATAGTGCCTTTCCTTCTCTATCAGCACCCCACTAAGGCATTAGTGGTTTTGTGGTGCTGGAGGTTCCATCGTTTGGATGAGAGAGAACTGAAGTCCTGGTAAGGTGCCAAAAAACATTGGAAACTGGCCAGTACTTACAGTGGGAAACATCTGGGGCATGATCCAATGGGGCTATTCACATGCTTGAAGCTACACATGTTCTGAAGTGCTGCACCAGGGCCAGCATGCTCAGCACCTGGCAGGATTGAGGCCCTAAAGGAACCAGGCCGTTCCTTAAAAGTTATTGGTGGGAGTCGAGAAATCCCTTGAGTTTTGTCCCTCACCCCCCCCAATACATAAATACACCTGATAATCTGGAAGATTTCTAAGTCCCTCAACTCCTTCGTTTGTTTCCTCATCTTTAAAATGAGGATAACCCTCCACTACCTCAGAGAAGTTCTGATTAATGTGTGTAACATGTGGTGTAAGCGATAAGTGTTGCTTGGTTTTGTGCTCAGTCGTGATCTGCAGCCCAAAGTACATAAGCTGTTCCTGGAATCCAGAAGTCAAAGACATGGAGCAGCTGTGAAAGTATCTGTGTGTGAAAATAGGGAACGTGGCATATTCCCCTCCACTCCAACACCACTCAGCAATCTCTGTTTTTCATTCCAGATTGCACAGGATTCTTGTCTGACGGGGAGAACAGAATAAAAGCAACTCTACAGGACCTTGTTTCCAATATAAGGTAAGGGGGAAAAATCTTGTCTATGATTGGAGAGGTTGCTGTGAGTTGGGAGGTGGTGGAAGTCTTGGACACTGGTTGTACAGTCACGAACATCTTGCACATTTGGTCAGACCGGATGGGTTGTTTCTGGTTCTTCATCACGTATTTAGAGGCACAGCACTCTCTCTTTGGCTCAGGGTTTGCAAAATGGGGCTGTGTTCCATCAAAATATTAGGCTCTGAAACACGGTTTGTCCAAGCAGACGTTCTGTTCCCTGCAAGACTCCGCATAGGCTCCTGGTAATGTTATTTTAAAGATGTTAAGCTGTGTCTACACTAAGTGGCATTTCAAATCATGTTAGCTAATGTGATGAAAAAACCACCAGTTTACCCAGTCTGACCAGACTCTCAGCCATACTTGTTTCCCTCCCACTCCTGCATCCTTGCTGTCCCTACCACCTGACACAGCCCACCCCACCCCACAGGTCGCTGGCTAGCAGAAGTGGGTCAAATGCTGCACCCCTGCCTGCTGGTCCTTGTGGGGGTTCTGCCTGTAGGGCACGCATCTCATGGATCCTGCTTTAGTCCGCCCCAAAGTGCAGATGAGTCTTGTTCAGAGTGCATCTTAGTCTTGTCCCAGAGGTTGTCTTCTACAGGATGTGTTTCCATGTGCAGTTCCAAATGTTTTTTACACTAGCTGGCTGATCCCTTCTGCCCCAGAGCTAGCTGCATTTCATTGGTAACGCATGTCCATCGGCCAATGTTTTGAGATTCGGTTGCTTGAAGCTGAGCTCTGAAAGTCAGGTCACTCAAAGACAGACTTTGTGGGTGAACAATTTGGTTACCCCTGTGTGAAAAGTCTTGCCATTGGGCTGAAGTGTGATGTGAAATGGAAACTTACGTGTGAAGTGCTCTAAGAGCTGCCATGATTTATGGCCTGTGGCACTGCAGACGTGTCGACTTGCACTTGCCAGGTCCAGGCCACCCACGCTGGGTGTAGTTGAGGAGCCCCAGAGTGTTCAAACCACTCTCCTGGCACTGGAAGAGCGCGGGCGTGCTAAAGTTACCTCGCTGGGGCCTTGCCATCTGCTTCACCAGCACATTTCACAAGGAAAGCTCCATTCTTGGCCGAGGGAGGACAAGCAAAGATCCATTCAGTGTGTGCATAACTTTTCCTATAATCGCGGCTTTGTTCTCCCTTGCTTCCAGAATTCCTGCTCTTCAAGTTGTAGGAGGCAGCCATTGATTTACATAGCTGCCTTTTTCGTTAAGTAGCTTGGGCGTAGTAACTGTGTGTTTCAGTGTTAGATCCCATAGCTCCAGCATTGACGGGGGAGAGTAGGGTTTTGAATGGCTGTTTTTGCAGCCTGAATCCAGGCTTAACTTTAATGTAAATGATTTGTTCACTGCATGACCTGAGAGTTTGTGACTCTTTACCAGTCACACTGCTCTGCAGCTCTTGGTTTGCCTCCTGTGCCTTTCTTTGTTCCTTGGGAAGTGTCTGTGGGTTTGGGTTATTTGGGGTTTTTTTTTTAGGACTCTTACTCAGCTTGTGGGTGCCACTCTATTTTCTGCATCTTTACAGCAGGGGCATGGGAGCTGTAGACGGACTCCTGCTTTGATATCAGGAAAGTGGCACTGTTCTATATGAACACTAATGGGCATGGAGACTTCAGCTCCCTGGTCTTTTCAGGTGGGCGGGTCAGGGTAAGGGAAGCTTGCAGTGTTGTTGCCCCTCCTCTGTGGATAGAGAATTTCACTCTCCGGGGCTGTCCTCCTAGCACCAATTTTGCCTAAAAAACAAATGTAAAGATCTAGTGTTCTAAGGCCTCAGATCGCAGCCTGCCCCTGCAAGAGAGATTGTCAATGTACAAATCACTTTCCGTTTTGTTGTGTAACTAGCCACCCCTGAAAAACAAATTTCCCTGTGTGGGCTCTCCCGCTGGATTGGTAATTCTCCAGTGCTGACTTGTTTTGGTATAAAATTTCCTTTGCAGGCTGAGGATTGAAAACTAGGTCAGGCTGGAATGCGGCCTTGAGGAGTTGTAACTAACCCCTTTGCACTCGCTACAGACAAGCACATTGTGTTTAACATTGCAGACTTTTAGCAGTCAAGGGAATTAACCATTGGAGCAGTTTATCTAGGGATGTGCTGGAGCCTTCATCACTTGGAGTCTTTAAATCAGTATGCTGCAGCTGGACCAGACGTTACGGGCTTGATGCAGGAATCACTGGATGAAATTCCCTGGTCTGTGTTATATAGGAGGTCGGACTAGGTGATTGTAATGGTCCCTTCTGCCTTTACTTTCTATGCATCACGTCATCTGGGATTGGGCCGTGGTTTACCTACACTCAGCTGATGTGATGTTAAATGTGACAGCCCGTCTGCACAGACTGCAGTTCTGTATATCGTGTGCCCTGAGAGGGCTTGTTTACACATCCTGTTCTGTGCCCGTTTCCATGGTATCTGAGCACATTCTGATACTTGCTGCTCACACTGTGCCTCCCTGCTCCGTGCATTGCGGTGGAAGCCATGTTTAAGGTTCAGCCACCCACTCAGTGGGTCAAGGACACGAGGAATGCATACCGAAACTTGTGGGAGGTTGTTCGGGGGTGGGAGGGGAGATGCTTAAAGGCCGAGGGTCTTATCATCCATGGCTTTGCCTCTGCCCAGGGCTCTGCAGGGGGCAGCAGCCTGGATTTAGCATGGCCCTCAGTTGCAGCATGCCCCTGTGGTTTGAGACTGCGTCTCGACAACCCCTGCTGGGAGGTTTACCTGCTGAAAACACCCTTCAGAGCAAAACTAAAGGTTCAGACTATAGACAGATGTCTCGTGGCACAGGGATTCTGAATATATCTAAATCTGAGTTGATGGTGTCCCTTTGAATCCTGCCTAATTCAGCTGGGTTTAGCTCGCCATACTAGTGACCGTGTGCAACCTGGGACTGACACAAAATGACCTCTTATAAAGCCAGATGAGTGTTAGACGGCTTTGCAGTGGGATCTGTAGCTTTTTTCCACACAGCTGCATTGTGTGATGCTAACCCTGCTCATAGACTTCAGGGGTTATTTTCTTCTTAACTTTGATACGTTGCCGATGGAACGATACAAGAATTAGGGGTCATCTAATGAAATGAATAGGCAGCAGGTTTAAAACAAACCAAAGGAAGTATTTCTTCACACAACACACAGTCATCCTGTGGAACTCTTTGCCAGGGGATGTTGTGAAGGCCAAGACTATAACAGGGTTAAAAAAAGAACTAGATAAACTCGTGGAGGATAGGTCTGTCAATGGCTGTTAGCCAGCATGGGCAGGAATGGTGTCCCTAGGCTCTGTTTGCCAGAAGCTGGGAACGGGCGACAGGGGACGGGTCGCTTGATGATTACCTGTTCTGTTCATTCCCCCTGGGCACTTGGCATTGGCCACTGTTGGAAGCCAGGATACTGGGCTAGATGGACCTTTGGTCTGACCCAGTGTGGCCGTTCTTATGTTCTTGTTTAGGTTGTGTACTGGCTGCTCTTACCTCTTTTAGACTGAAGCATGCTGGCTCAGAGTTCATGTTTTACTGCAGCGTGCTCAAAATATTGCCCTCTCCCAGAGCGCGCTAAAGTAAATGAAAAATTAGAGACAACAGCCGTGCTCTGCATCCGACCTCATTGCAATGTGTTCCGTGTTAGTGCTTGTCATGGGGGGACATGCCATCTTTTTATTAAGATCCTCTGATCTTTGTGTGTGTTTGTGAATTAAGCCACTAACATTCACTGCTAGTGAGGTAGTATCAGAATCTCTCTTTTATAGATAGGACAACTAAGGAGTGGAAAGGTTTCTTGCCCCAAATCATACAGCAGCCCTGTGGCAGAACCCAAACTTCCTGACTCACAGTTTTAACCACCTGATCATTCCTGGCCAGTATATCCCCACTCTTCATGTTACTAGTTCCCTAGACAGTATTTCAAAAGCACTGTAGGATCGTTGGGTGCATGTTGGCGCTTGCCAATATTGCGTTCTTTACAATATTACTTGGGATTTTTTAAATTACAATTTTGATGCCACCAAATGGCCGAATTGTGTGTTGCCTGTTTCCCTCTGCTGTGCCTAGTTCCTGCGATGTGCGTCCCTGTGTTTTAAACGTGCATAATTGCAATTAAATAAAATAATCACCATCCCCCCCAGGAATAGAGTGGGACCATTCCTAACAAAAATGCCTGAAGAGCGAACCTTGTATGTAATGTTGACTCAATGGATTTGAATTTCCAGTTTGGTAGGACCTCTCTTCACTGTTCTAATTCTCTCTGGTCTTTAAGGAGATGTCTAAATTGTATCTCTCTTTTTAAAATATTTTCTCTCTTCATTCTTTGAAATAACCATCTGGAAACTGGAAAATGCCACGTAGTTCCTCACCAGCTTGGATGTCTCGCTTTCTCATTTGGGTAACGTTATTTTAGACTTCCCGCTGTTTCTGGCAGAGCTCAAAATTAATGTGGCTTAAAAACTTGTTCGAGTATAAGCTTTGATGCCTCAACTCTGGGAAGTCGTGTAACTGCTGTTGAAGCAGCAGCAGAGGGTGCAGGAGAGCACCGATGTGCCTGCCTCAGTGTGCTGAATGAGATTATCTCCGCAACATTGGAGGTAAAATCTAAAGGAGCTGGTCATCGTGTTCGCTGGTGTGATTCGTTGGTCTGTAGCAAACACCAACTGGTATCCCATCCTGTGCTTTGTCTGCTAGGAGATTGATCCATAAAGCATTCAAGATAATTTTCTGCTGTGTTATTAGTGACTCGGAAACAGGTAATGCCGTATTTGACATAGAGTGCCGCTCCCCCTCCCCTTTTGCCCACTCAGTCCTTCCTGAATAGGTTATAACCATTGATTGTAACATTCCATTCATGCACATCCTCCCACTGCATTCCAGTAATACCAACTAGATTGAATTTATGCTCATAAATGATTAATTCCAATTCCTCTTGTTTATTACCTGGGCTCCTAGCAGTGATGTATAGGCAATTAAAGAATTACTTCTC